CTCTCTCTCCCTCTCCTTCTCCCCCTTTTCTCTCCCTCCTTCTCCATTTCTCTCTGCCTCTCCTTCTCCCCTTCTCTATCTCCTTCCTTCGCCATTTCTCTCTCCCTCTCCTTCTCCCTTCTCTTCTCCTCTCCTTCTCCATTTCTCTCTCCCTCTCCTTCTCCCCTTCTCTCTCTCCTCCTCTCTACCTGCTCCCTCTCCATTTCTCTCTCCCTCTCCTTCTCCCCTCTTCTCTCTCCTCCCCTCCATTTTCTCACCCTCTCCCTCTCTCCCAACCTCACTGCGGGAAATAATAATTGCACATGACAGTCTGGTGGATTTGGCAACAGGTCGTCGGATTTTGCCCCACCTGTGTCCTGCTTATCCGGAATTTTATGATGTTCCTTCTCATTCTACTTCTGCTTTGTCTTTCTTATAGTTTTCTTTGTGCTTTATTGTATTTTGCATATTCTTCTTATGTGTTATGTTTTATATATACGGAGGTAAATAACCATGTCTTTTTTTACACTTGCGCTCCCTGATGGAACAATGTGCTGTTTTGGTGTTCCTGTTAAGAAGTGTATTGCTTGTTACTATTATTAATAATTACATGAGACAGTGAGAGGGAGAGGGAGAGGGAGGGAGGGAGGAGAGAGAGGGAGGAGAGAGGGGGGAGAGAGAGAGAGGGAGGGAGAGAGAGAGAGGGAGAGAGAGAGAGAGAGGAGAGAGAGAGAGGGAAGAGAGAGAGGGAGGGAGAGAGAGAGAGAGAGAGAGAGAGAGAGGAGGGAGGGAGGGAGGGGAGGGAGGGAGGGAGGGAGAGAGAGAGAGAGAGAGAGGGAGGAGGGAGGAGGGAGGAGGAGAGAGAGGAGAGAGAGAGAGAGAGAGAGAGGAGAGAGAGAGAGAGAGAGAGAGAGAGAGAGAGAGAGAGAGAGAGAGAGAGAGAAGAGAGAGAGAGAGAGAGAGAGAGAGAGAAGAGAGAGAGAGAGACGAAGAGAGAGAGAGAAGATGCTTGAAAGAGGACGAAAGCAAGTATTTAACAGAAAAAGAAACAATAGTAATCGCGGAAATGAATATGCATATATGTATAGTGTGCTTTGTCATTCAGACAAAAAAAAAGACATAAATACTGCATTCCTGTTTGTTTATTCCGTCTTTTACCCACGTCGCAAAAACTCGCATGCTCCTCCGTTCTCTTTGAGTCTCAGAAACTACATCATCGTCTACTATCTCCATTGCCACCATTATTAAGATCCTTTACTGTTCCATGTTCGCTCTTAGATCTCCCTCCTAATCCATTTCGTCCTATTTTTTCGTTTTCTGCATCTCTTACTCTTCCTCCTTTGTCTCGTCTCCCTTCTCCATCTCCACCTTTACCTCCTCCCTCAGAACAGCCCTCTCCCACCTCCACCAGTTTTATACTTCCACCTCCACCCCTTCCACCTCCACCAATTTAAACTTCACCCCTTCCACCTCCACCAATTTCAAACTTCCACCTTCCAACCAATTTCAAACTTCACACCTCCAAATTTCAAACTTCCACCTCACCCTTCCACCTCTCCCACCATCTCTCAGGCCCCCACCATCCTCCGCTCCCACACCTCCCACACCTCCACCAACATAGGTAAGTTAGCCTTTTACCAGACAAACTCGATTCTGCCTGCTTGCTTGCTTGCACTGCGCCCCCCTCCTCTCCTCCCCTCGCCCCCAGTGTGCTTTCTGCATGCGCGTTTCCCTGTCGAAAACGAAGTCTGTCTGGAAGCTTAAGTGTCCCTTCTCGCACGCTCGCTTTTTCCGAAACGAACTGCGAAGTGGTTTGAGAGGGAGGCAGGGGGAGGAGAGAGGGAGGGAAGGAGAGAGGAAGAGAAGGAGAGAGGGAAGGAAGGAGAGAGGAAGGGAGGGAGGGAGGAGGGAGAGAGGGAAGGAGAGAGGAAGGAGGGAGGGAGAGTGAGAGTGATAGAGGGAGACAGAGAGGGAAGAGAGGGAGAGGAAGGGAGAGAGAGGGAGAGAGAGAGAGAGAGGGGAGAATGTTTGACAGAGTGGGAGAAAGAGATTGAGAAGTTAAGGGATAGTAAAACAAGGGAAAGGGAGAGGGTGAGAGGGAACAGGCGAAGGAGACAGGAAGAGAAAGAAAGACTGAAGGAGAGGCATGGAACGAAAGAAAGGAGACAAAGAATAAATGAAACCGGGAGAAAGAAGATGAGGAAGAGGTGTATGAGCAAAGAAGAGTGGTGAAGAGGAAAAGAAAGATGAGAGGAAGAAAAGTGTGTGAAAGAGAAATGGAGGCAGAAAGGATGAAAGGGACATGAAAAAGGACGATTCCGTATTAGGGGAAAAAAAGAGAGAAAAGAAATAACAGATTTTAAGCAGGAAATGGAAATGAAAAGAATGGAAAGAGAGAGAGAGGAGAGGAGAGAGAGAGAGAGAGAGAGAGCGAGAGAGAGAGAGAGAGAGAGAGAGAAAGAGAGAGAGAGAGAGAGAGAGAGAGAGAGAGAGAGAGAGAGAGAGTAGTAGAGATTATAAACTTAATAATAGAAAGAGCGAACTATACATCGACTTCGAGGGATATATGGAGAGACGGAATAGGAGAGATAAAAAAAAAAAAAAAAAGAAAAAAATAGAAAGAAAACATCAAGAGAGAGAAAGAAAGGAGAGACTCAGCCTAGGTGTGGTATTCGTGATTTGTGGTTATGGCCACTGTTACGTTGGTATTTTTGTGAAGGGGTGGCGTGATTGGGGAATTGGCAATACTGTCGTTGTTGTTGTTTTTTGGCCTTTGTTTTTGTGTTGAGATTTCGTTGTTGTTGTGACGACATCGAAATTGCATTGTTGATGATTGTAGGGTTCTTATAGTTGTTGTATGAAGAGGGGAAACGTTGTGATTGTTTTTGTGATAATAATAGTAATGACGATGATGGGGCTAATGGTGAGTGATAATGATAATAATGATAATTAAGATAATAAGAAAAATAATAATAACAACAAGAACATTAACAGTATTAATAATTGTTATATGTTAATGCTGCTATTGCTCTTATTTTTGTTATTGTTGTACATATTGTTTATCGACTTTTTCACGACTTTTCCCCTGTTTGTCCCCTTGCTTCTCCTCCCTCCTCTAAATTTCCCACCATTCCCTCCCTTTCTCTTCTTCTTATTTCATCCTCCTTTCCTCTCCCTCTTTCCCTATTCTTGTCCCCCTTCGTCACGCAATCCCCCCTTCCCGTTGGCTTTCTTAAAGTACGGTCCTTTGAAGAGCTGTGTTATAAGAATAATGTTTTTTTTCGAGTTTTATTTTTATTTGTCTTATTTATTTATGCCATACTGCTTTACGTCCTTCGCGCTCGTCTTTTTTTATTTGTTTCTTTGATTATTGGGTAGATGTGCTCGGTATATATATATATATATATATATATATATAGTATATATATATATTATATGGACCCACAGGTCATGAAATGAATGCACTAGCAGCTTGGACGTTGCACAACCTCTCGGAAAGGACAATTAATGAATCGTTTTCGAATCCGTAATTGGTGTCGGGTTCATTTCGGAACGTGAACTACAACAACAACAGTAAAACAAAAGCATCGAACAAAGGCCCTCTTCAAGACTCTAACCTGTTGTTGTTGTTATTGTGTTTTGTTGTTTTTTATCGTTGTATTATTGTTGTCGTTGCTGCCACCACCATCATCATCGTTATCATCCTTATTATTTTTATCATTATCATCCCAATCTACATAATTTGCTTGTTTATTCTTATTGTTATTACACTATTGTTATCGCCATCGTCATCATCCTCATAGAATGATTTTATTTTTTCTTATTTGTTTTAATGGATTATTTATTTAAATACTAAGTCATTTATTTATTGCAAAATCTCGTCTAATTCATTATTTCTACCAAAACAGCAGAAATGAGGTATAAGATAAATTACCTTCCCAAGAGACAAAGACTTTCCAGAACTTTCCTTGAAGAAGAAGGAAAGAATAAGGAGAGAAGGGGGAAGATTTTTTGCTTGGGGGGGGAGGACGAAATGAAAAGGGGAAGAGGGAAGGAGCGAGAGAAGGAGAAGAGGAGGAAGAAGGAATAGGGAAGAATGTGGCATGGAGGAGGAAGGAAGGAAGGGAAAGAGGAAGGGGCAAAGGGAATGGGAAAGGATGAAGAGAATAATGGGAAAAGGAAAAGGGAAATGGAAAGGAAATAATGGGGGGGGAGGAGGAGTAGGAGGAAGGGGGGAGGGGGAAAGTCGTGAAAAACGAGACAGTTCAGCTTCGGAAAACCAGACATTGTCCCGACTGCATGCACGCTTTTTGGTGGAAATACATCACTTGGCAACTGCGGCGGCGGGCGGGAGGTGTTGCCGACAGACGCGCCCCAAAGTTTATTTACTTTTTGGCATTATTTTTATGTCTGTTTCAATCATTGAAATTGAAAATGACTTTTGCTCTTAGTGAGTGTGGGGATATTTGGTGCCCACGCCAAGGAAAGAGCTTAACGTTTTGTGGTTGCCAGAGTTGATGTATTAATTATTGAAAACATCGTCGGGAAAATGGACATGTAATTAGCTTTTGAGATTTGCATGATGAATAATTGGTACATTATCTTATTATTGTTTGTATATCATCATCATTGCTTTTCTCATTTTTTATCAATGTGGATATTTTGCGTGTGTGAGTGTGTGTGTGTGTGTGTGTGTGTGTGTGTGTGTGTGTGTGTGTGTGTGTGTGTGTGTGTGTGTGTGTGTGTGTGTGTGTGTGTGTGTGTGTGTGTGTGTGTGTCTGTCTGTCTGTCTGTCTGTCTGCCTGTCTGTCTCTGCCTGTCTGTCTGTCTGTCTGTCTGTCCGTCCGTCCGTCCGTCCGTCCGCCTACCTGCCTGTCTGCCTGCATGTCTGTGTGTCTTATACGTACATCTATTAACACAGCCATACACATAGACACAGAACAATCCCCAGACGACCTCCAACGACCTCCACCTCCAACGACCTCCACCTCCCTCGCTGACTGTCCTTCCTTTCGTTTCAGGCCAAGATGGTGGTATCCGAAGGGGCAATCAACAACATTATGGGCGGGATGGAGAACACGGCCGGGGTGCGCCTCCATTCCCACCGCCACAAACTCAAACAGCG